AGTTCTGTAACCCACAGGGATAGTTGTACCATAAGTGGGAGACACCTGATACGGATCTTTTTTTATGCTGTGGGAATGTGGTTCCTCTATACAGGGAAAGGGTGAATAGTGGGCCAAGGACCCGAGCCCCTAGTGGCATCTTAAGGTCCTGCCACATGTCATCGGACCCTTCCTTAGATTTACGTGCCTTAAAGATCTGGATGTTTGGGTTCGCCTTTCTTGGGTGACTCAGAGTTGGCTCCATGTGGTGGTAGGATGCCTACCTCTGCGTGTTGAGACTTCACATGTTGATTAGAGGAGAGAGCGTCATCTTTCTAGCGAGTCTGGACGAAGGTGTGCTGTCCTTGTTGCCACTCTTGGTCACCTTATGACCTGAGCGTGCTTCAGTGAAGTACAGGTGGGTTTATGTTTGTGGAGTGGAGCAGTCATTAACGATTGGCGGGCAGAACTCTTCTGGAATTTGAAATGGACAGATGTGGTTCTGTGTCACCCGTGGACTCTCTCGCTTGTATTACCTTTGCCTGCCCTCTGTGAAAGGGACTGGAGGATGGGCTATGTAGGTGACTGACTTGTCAGCCCAAACTAAACACACCGCCATTGACTCCATTCCAATTCATCGTGACCCTGCAGGCCAGGGTGGAAATACCCCTGTGGGTTTCCAAGTCTGTCACTCTCTACAGGAGTCCAAAGTCTCATCTTTTCTTCATGGAGAGGCTGGGGGTTTTGAACTGCTGACCTTGAGGATCACAGCCCACGGCTTCACCTGTGCAGCACCAGGGCTCCTCAACTTACATATAGAAATACGTAATTTCCCCAGAAGATTATACATTTTGTCCCCTGTCAGGTGAGTGCCGGGCCTCCTAGACTTTCAGAAAGCATGAGCAGCTGGAACCTTGGGTTGCCAATGTATGTGAAGTGCTAGTCCTCGTATGTTAGGAAGTAAAAGAATTTGCCACCCTGATGATCATGGTTAGGAGGAGGTGAGGGCCTAAATGGTTGGATT